TTCTCCAGATTCGTTTCGGTCTTGTCGTCCTATCAACCACCTCGCTCATAGCACAGTTAACTACTCAGGTGCGTTCCCGACGATGAGTACGTCTTCCCGCCTACTGGGGCGGCGGCGCTCGTCCGATGCCGCTCAGCCGCCGTGCGGGCCTGTGCGTCACGCTTTCCCCGCTCGGAGCATCCACATTCCCATCCGCTCCGCCGCCGCCGCTCAACCGCCGTGCAGGCCTGGGCGTCGCGCTTTCCCCGCTCGCTTCCGCATCCCCATCCGCCCCGACATCATCGACGATTCCTCGAGCGTGTTCGTCATCCTCTCCCTCCTCGTCATTCTGAGTGCCTCCATAGACTGAATCGCCTTTTGTTTCCGTCGCGGCAGCCAGGTCTCGACGAGATCGACGCGATGCCGCTCCTCCTCCTACCCCTCCCCCTCCTTCCAGCAGACCTCCATCCCTCTGCTCTCCCTCCTCCAGACCCTTCTCGCTCTCGCGGACGCCGTTCGCACTTTCCTTTCTTATTCCACTGCCCGCTACCGAGCACTCCCGCCGTCCTGCCGCCGTCCGATTACCTCGCCGCACATCCGCCTCCATTGTCGACGATATCCTAACTCTCATCATTCCCCTCGATATACTCATCCCCCCCTCAGCACTAACATTCCTCGAGCCAATGCTTTGCCGCCTCTCTCTCCCTCGGCCGCAGTCCTCCCTCCTAGTCGCAAGCACTTCGGCCTGCTCAGGACTCCTCCCACTAGGCTGTTCCTGTGCCCCTTCCTCCTCCGCCTCCTCCTTCCCCTCTCCCCTCTCCACCTCAGCCCGCTCCCTTCGACACCCTGCATCCTCGGTATCATCGTCGAAATCGCCGTCCTCATCATTCTCCTTCTCATCGTCCGCATCCTCGTGATCTTCCCCACGCCTTCTCGTCGTCTGCCGCCGCCTCTCCCCGTCCTTTCTCTCCTCGCCCCCCTTCTCCTCCTCCTCCTCCTCCTCCTCCTCCTCCTCCTCCTCCTCTTCCCCGTCGTCGTCGATCAGATCGCTGTCCTCCTTGGCCTCATCATTTGAATCGGACACCCCGACTTCATCCTCATCCTCCTCATTATCATTATCATCATCGTCATCATCATCATCGTTATCCTCTCCATTCTTGCGCTGCTGCATACGCTGCAACGCGGCATTCCGTTGCTCCTCCCCTCCTCCCGAATTCAATACACGGAGCAGCGTTCTCCTGTCTCTTTCTCTCAATCCTTGAACTGCCTCTTCTAATCGCCGCCTCTCCTTCTCCTCTTCCTCCGTCGGTCCCGCCGTCACGAGCACAACGTCCCCACCTGCCGCTTGTCCACACTTCGCGCACACCTTCTTCTCCGTCGCACACGCCGCACAACGCGTGTGGTAAGCGGATTTCACGGCGCGCCTTCTGCACTGAATGCATTTCTGCGGTTCCGTTAAGGGTTTGTATTTGCCGTATCTTCGTCTCCACTCGATTTGATCTTTACAACGCGTGCACACCCCCGAGACAGGCGCGTAGGGTCTCGTCTTCGTTCCCACCTCGGATTCCTTCCTTTGGACCCCACGATCGGGTTTCCATCCCGTCCGATTCTGGTGCCTCGGGGGACCTCGAGAAACTCCTCCACGCCTCGTCGACATCGCCGTCGATCAGCCTTGCTCAACCACCTACACAATCCTCCTCTCCTCCCTGTCTTCCTTTCACACAAGCGAGAGAGAGCTTCTTTCTCCCTCACTAGACACTTCCTCCGTTACTACACAATCTCCCACCCTCCATCTGACCTTCAACACTCGTCACAACTGTTTAAAAGCGCAGCACTACCGATAGAGACTGTCCGCCAGAGAATCGACTCCCTCGAGAAACGACCGGGCACGAATCATGCACGATGCCAGGAGGACTAAAGGAACCCTGTCAAGGAAAGACGAGCAGAGCAAAGCATGCACACGGCTTGGGAGGGCTACAGAGATGAAGAAGTCGAACAAGAAATGTGACAGAAAGGTGCAGTCGGATCGAGTGGAGGACGGTGCGCCTCTGACCTAGACGGGCAACAAGACGATGACGTCAAGGACAGAAGGTTTCGGGGACGACTACCACAGGCAGAGGGAGAGGGAGAGGGAGAGGGAGAGGGAGGAGAGCTAGCCCACGCCTTGCCTCACGATCCAGAACGCTGAAGACGTGCAGGTAAAGAAGACCGACGTTTAGGATGTACTCACATTAGCTGTGTCTTAAATGAATCTGACCGAATTTGTTGCGGCACGTGGATGCATTTGACGGCAATCACGTCCATAAACAAGTAAAAAAGTCGGTATCTAAGTATGCGCTTATGGCAAGCACTGACTGATTAGCTCGCGGGAGAATCGGGCGATGCGACCCTGTTGTCCTGTTTTCCTGTGCACGGCATATTAGGAGGCAAGGGCATCTGAGCAAGAAGAGATGGCACATGATAGCGGCAGAGTGCAGTTTGCCGAAAGAGCCAAGGCATTGCCCTGCAGTGCACAGCATCCACCTCCGGTGTCGCAAAGATCCGACCGTCTGCAAGCCGACCTTCTGCACGCCGAGCCAAGCCAAGGCATTGCCCTGCAGTGCACAGCGCCCACTCCTGTATGCTTCCTACCATCGCGCAGTGCCCGAGTTCGAACCGCAACCCGACAAATTGTTATCGAGCATATGTACCGTGACTGAGCCCACAGCTGGCTGCTTTTGCACCGCGCGATGGTAGCAAGCATACAGGAGTCCATACCAGTTTTCACTCAAATGATGTGCCACGTCGGTCCTACCAGGCATGAATCAGACAGGATTCCCGCTACGAATAGGCTGAAGGTGCACCCTTTTTCTTTGAGAAATTGTGTGGAATAATACCCCTGAAAGTCCACGTATATGTTAAAATACCCCCTATAAGGGGTGGGTGCTCCAGAATACCCGAATATGCCTTTGTCTTTTTTGCCTTCGCATTATACCCCTGTCACGGGCACGTTTGCATTCTTCGCCTCTCTGCAGACGGGGCTGTCCCGAATCAACTCTGTAGTATGCCCCTACCGTAAGCTCGCTCCATATCCCAGCCGGTCCTTCTCCATACCTTCCATGTGCCCCCC